GGAAGGAAGGAAGGAAGGAAGGAAGGAAGGAAGGAAGGAAGGAAGGAAGGAATCTGTTCCAACAAATTGGAAAAACAAGCTAACTTTGAGTTTCCTTTATGTAAATGTTTATGTTGAAATTTAATTTAGGTCAGGTCAATGAAAATAGTTTAAAAATCTAAAACATGTAAAGGTTTGTCAGTTCTAAAATCCGGCAAATATGAYTTAATATGAGGACATTTACATATAAAAATGTGGTTTTGTTGCCAGTAACAAATTATGTTTACACAGGCCCATTTCCACCTCTTTGAAAAGTTGATAATAATTTTAAAAAAAATTGTAAGTCATAATTAAGAAATACTATCTCAGAATCATGTCTTAGCATCACATTATTTTAAGATACTGTCAAAATTATGACTTATAAATATATAAAGCTAAGTGATCATTTTGAGATAGTATAATCTTGACTTAGAGATTTACTTTTTTAAAAATTAAGAAGGAAACTGGCTTCGTAATTTCATAGTTTAAACATTTGACTAAAGGAGTRGTGTTAGCTGTGCATGTAAATAAACACCTCTTGAAATGTCATACATAATGTTTCAGTTGTGTTTAATTAAGGGTTCAGGAGCCCGTTTGGCAAAAATACCCAGTTTTCAAACCATAGAAAACAACAAGAGTTGTTAATTAATTTTCTGCCTGTTACAACGTAACCAGGCTTTTATTAAAAACAAAAATAAAAGAAAGTAGGATTTATGTTTGATTTGGAAACTGAAATACTCTAGAAATTTCTGAGGAACTGTTACATGTGTGTATAAAATAAAAAAAAAATGCTATGGTAAAGGATGAACAATGTCCAAGAATGAAAAGAGAAAAAAAAGTTCGATGAACGAGCTGACTTTGCCATATTTATGGCAAATGGATTCACATTTTTTGTTGAAACCAGGATGTTATTCTTTTATTATCTCTACATGATACACAGAGGATTTTTACTGTCTGAAATTTATCTGTTAAATCTAACTGTTGAGTCTTTAGGTTTTCTAGTTGTGACAAAGTTTTAGAGCATTACCTAAAATCCCAACATTTGTAAAGTAGGTCTTTCATTTGAGGTAAAATTACAAAATCTCCTCTCAAAGACAAAATGAGTGAAATAAGTGGATACCTTCAGCTTCCAGGTGGGTTCAGAGTTTTGCTTTCTGTCGGTGTTGTGAGTGCTGCATTTGTATGTTTGTATCCTGTGGAAATGAGCAGTTTCTTTCCATCTCCTGTAAACATAAAAAAGAAAACAAGACTATTTATGTGTTGTTGTTTTTTTTATAAATGACACGAAGGACAGACATAAAGTGACAAAAGACTTGTAAATTCAGCAAACAAGAGAAAAAAATATTGACAAAATTGGACATAGGCCTAAAACGCCTCTGGTTATATAAGAGATGACAAATAAAAGTGTATGACAAACATTAGAGAAATGGTGCGTTATTAAAAAATTTCAGATTTAGGTAGACCTGTTTAATAATGATCAGATTTAATGTGTAAACCTGATTAAACTCCTGCAGAGGTCACTGTTTCTGAGCTTTTACCCCAACCTGGTCCATACACGTGCTGTATATAGGGACTGTACTGAAAGTCAGCTAAGGCATTTTCATTGATTTATATTGTTGAGCATCTTTCAAGTAAATTATGTTTCAAGGCAGCACTCCAAAAGTAACATCATTTAAAGAACATCAAAAACAGGGTTAACTGGGAAATACATCAGTGTCTAAAATAAGTTTACCATAAATGTACAGTACAAAGTAAATCACAGGAGTAAGTCACACAGTCTAACAGTCATATTTTACCAAAAGTTTGCTACTAGTTTGCACACTCTACTACAGCTATCTTTATGGGGACATTGCATTGACTTCCATCAACCTCTACAGCCTGACCTGACCTGACCTCTTACCCTAAACCTAACCTAATTCACACCTTGGTCCTAACCCCTGACGCACCAACTGCATTTCCCCTCATGTGGACTAGGCTTAGGTCCCCATAAGTGCCAGTTGGTCCCCACAAGTAGATCAGTATGCCAAAAATCCTCCAAACATAGTAGGGAATACCTGCCCGTGTGTGTGGGTGTATGGGAAAACAAAAAAATCCATAATAAAAATCTCTGATTTATGTAAGTTTATACTGTGTTCCAACAAGACAAGGTTTGGAGATAAAACTTATAAAGGTAATGTGTTCCTCGCTTGTTGTGATTTACAGGAGAAACTAAGATCCACTTTGGCAGCGATTCATCTGATCTTCATCTGGGATTATGAAATCAGTTATCTCCCAGTGCTTTTTGTGATGCTATCAAATCAAGTTCCGCTGAAGCTCTACAACTTCAGCTGGCTTTTATTTTTATTTTTACTCGAGCAGGTCACATGGTGAAAGAGAACTCAGGATTTGCTCTGAGGCAATGAACACAATCTGTATCCAGGACATCTTGTTCTTCCTTAAAATATAACCATTAATTATTTATTTAATCCCAGAGCAATCAACTTCATTGCTGTTTAGTTGTGACTTTATCTAAGCCTTAAACATGGTGTGTTTACATTTATTATACATGCTAACTCAGAAGTCAGTGTACTTGTGTTTTGTTGTCCTCCTTTCTTACATTTTAGCTGTTGTTTTCGGACCAGTCCACCCATGTGGGATTCTACTAATGACAGCCTGTTCTGGCCTCAACGGAGCCAACATGTCTTTCCCCAAAGATTCATATTTCTGTAATGCCAGTCAAAACCTCGACGGAAAAACAGATGACTTGTTTTGTATTTGTTTACAGATCCTCCAGAACAACTCAAACCTTTCAGTGACATGCTGCTCTGCAAATGGGAACGTGAACTGACAGGACAGCTGGTATTTCTGTCGCTTTGCAGAGAAATTGGAGTTTCACTTGAACGGGCATCATTATCTGGTGAGTTGCTTATGCCAATAAATTTCAAACAGTTGGATTAACATATGGTAATGTAAGAATAATAGTAAAAATGACCTAAAGTGATTTACTGTRACGTGTTGTATTGGCTACTGTCCATTTCCCAAAGATGCACATATTTAAACTGCTTCAGTAGATATGACATGTTTCAGTCTGGTTTTAAAGCCCTTCACAGCACAGAAATCTTATTTTACATTTTTAAGAGGGGAGTGGGTATTTTCCAAAATGGACTTTTTTAACCTTTACATCATGTTATGTCATTTCCTCATCAAAAACATACCCACAGTGTTGCTTTGACTCGTTTCTGTGTGTTTGAGRAATCCTTAAATGTCCTGTGGTAGCCACGTGGAGCTGCCTGAACACTTGCTGGTACAAAGCTCCACCTATTTACTCTTTCATGAAGCCCAGTCCCCAGCTGAGCTCCTGCCCCACAGAGCACCCCTCCCTCGAAGCATTGTTGTGAAGACCTGCTGAAGTGGCAGTGTCCGAAACGGTAGGAGGTTCTTAAGAGACAGAGGTCACTTTCAAGGTATTTAGATAAAGGCTCTGTCACACTAGACCAGGGGTTCTCAAATTTTTTGGGTCTGGGGACCCCTTACAAGGATAAAAAAAATTCCAGGGACCCCTCATAAACCCCATGCTGTTTTAAAAGATACATTATTGTCAATTCAACCCTTAAATGCCATGGAAATATATTTTTATTTAGTTTATTATATTTGTTTTATCAGTTCATTGTTCTCCATGCATTTTTAAAAATAAAAACCAATTTAGTGAAATTTCTTTGAGGACCCCCAAGATACCTCTCACGGACCCCTGGGGGTCCTGGGACCCCAGTTTGAGAACCTCTGCACTAGACAACTTATGCCAACTAATGAACATTTTAAAAACGTCTACATTGAAGATGGAATCAAAAAAAATCAACAGGAAGCTTCTTTTGGTGTGTACATAATGTACCGATAATGTAAATATATAACTTTTATTAGCAATTTAGACATAAAAAATATTTCATAAGTTGGCATAAGTTGTCTAGTGTGATAGGACCTTTAACTGATACAAACTCAGATTTTTTTTGTGATATAAATAGAGTTTGCATAACTACTGAAGGTAACAATTAATTGATTGTGGCTTAGAATTGAAGGACTGTATGTGCCTGAAACATGCGTAATACCTCCCTCCCCTTTAAATGTGCTATATCTACTTGATTTTATATATTGTAGAAATGCAGAAGCAGATAAAGAGCTAATGTGATTTCAATTTTCTAAACTAAAAGTTTAAATTCAAAGGATTTTCGTAAAATATTTATTCTGCAGATTTTAGATTTGAGTACATCCAGGTTCAAAAACAAGAGATATTTGGTGAGGCGTTGAATGTGTCCTTTAACACATTAGAAAATTCTTCAGTTGTAGCCATGAGAACCTGCTTTAAAACACTTTCACTTCTGTCAAAAACATGTAATCACAACTGGGACATTTAAAAATGTTATTTTGAAACAAGCTGTGAACATTCCCAGAGAACATGTTGAGGTGACTCTCAGCTGCTACAGAACCAAAGGAGTTGTGGATGTACGTCCAACGATTACTTTCTGTTTCCTTAAAATTCCTCCAGTGGTTCAGAGGATATTGTGCTAACAGACAAACTGCGTTGACTCCAACAAATACGGCCAATGTTTTAAGCAAAGGGGTTGCACAATATGTTCTGTACGTGTCATATGAGATTATTCACAGCTATTATCACAACAGAGTTTTTGCTCATTATCTCTAAAAATTAACTSAGTTAAAGCCATTTTTGTGTTTCCYAACGTTAGTTGGCTGTGGYGGCCWTCTTGAGTGGGATTAACTTCAAAAGTGAATCAGTCATTGATGCACTACTTTATACTGGATTTCATTAAAATTCAGTACAAACTAGCAGTTATTTTGGTTAATGTATTTACATATTTTTACCTCTGTGACAGATTTTGAAAAAAGACAAAGACAGCCAAAATATTTTATGCAAATCCAAGTCAAAAGCTAATAGCTGTTCAACAACATGGTAGCTAATTAAAATTCCTTCAAAACATGCTAAGCCTTCCATTTTGATCAGTGCTGCAGCTGTTGCGATGTTCTTTTAGCCCTTGTTGTACGGTAACAACAAACATGCAGGTGGTCTGTGTAGCACAATGACTAACTCTTCTGTGTGTATGGTGTGGTTTCATTATACTGTGAGCGTAATGAGTTTGCATAAACTTTAATTAGACCAAGGCAGGTGTCATTTCCTGAGGCGGCGGTGCAAACACAGACTAATTTGGTCACAATGGGCAGACAAGCGATCAACAGGGCAGACTGGAAAAAGTCCAAAATATCCACTTTAAAAAGCCAGGTGGCAACAAAGTCCCACAGTCATTAAATAAAACACCTCTCTAAAGAGCGGGGACTTTGACAATAACCTTCCACGTGTTCTGAGGACAAATTTTGTYACTAATGTTTAAAAAGTTTCTGACAAATGCCTGGTAAATATTCACGGCCTGGCATTCCTGAAAAATAACTTTTATTGTCCACCAAATGTCATGCCAGCATTTTAAACTAAAATCAGCTTTTTTTTAGTGGAATGACAGAGCTACGGCTGCTTTGATCAAATCCAAGGTTAACTAGCTGTGGCGGCCATTTTAATACAGGTTGACTCTAAAAGTTGATCGGTTGTAAAAGGCACATTCAATGATTACATTCTAAATGTTTTTATTAAAATCAATCCTGTGGTTTATGAGATATTTTTCCAACAGATGGGCATACAGACAGAAAATTTAATCATCCTGATTCTGTTGCTTATTTAAGTGTTTGATGATGTTTAAAATGAGATCTGCAAATGAAAGGAAACCTTTTAAAGACATGTTATTAACTAGAGAAAATGCATTTTCAAAGAAAATTCAGTTTGAATGTGAAAGCTGAATGACTGAGCTGAAATTTATTGAAGAAGCTACAATTTAGTTATTAAAACTACACAAAGCATGTGACAAGCTAGAAGCTAAACGTAGCAAAAGGCATACTAAAAGTAGCAAAAGTCTAGCTTAAAGATAAAAGTATTCAAAAAAATAAGTAGCTAAAAGGCTAGCTATTAGTACTAAAAAGCTGGCTAAAAAGTAAAAGTAGCAATAGCTTAACTAAAAGCTTGATGCATCAAAAGACTGGCTAAAATCAAATATTAGCCAAAGCCTAGCAAGTAGCTTAAATTATCTAAAAGTTTACATAGCTAAAAGTAGCAAAAGGCTAGCTTAAGTATTAAAAGTCTGGCTAACAGCTAAAAACAGCAATAGGCTAATTAATTGTAGTATCAAAAGGCTGGCTAAAAGCTTAAAGTAGCAAAAGGCTAGATAGACTAAAATATCAAAAGACTGCTTAAAACCTACAAACCATGGAATGGTAAAGATAATAAAAGACTAATTAAAAGCTAAAAGTAACAAAATGATGAATAAAAAAAACAAAAGGAGCATATGAAAACAAAAATAGTGCAAATATGAGAGATCACTGTTTCTGAAGGTACTGGGAAAAAAACTGGAAATCTTAGTGTATTTCTACAAATACAAAAATCTGTAAATAAGATTCAATATTTTGAAAAGCACAAAACCTACCAAAGCCAAAAGTCACAGCACACATCTCCTAAATGAGTGTTTTGCTGTACTGTATGAAGGGCTATAGGCACAAAGTGTGCAGAGCGTTCATAAAAATAAAACTCAGTAAAACAAGTGTGAATAGTGAAGTATTCAGTTAGTTGACAGCCCACTGTGTATCCAATGGCTTTAAACCCTACATGACATGTCAGAAAGAACTCACATAGGAATAGAAAGCCATAAGACACACGTATGGTTTCACATAGAAGATCGTCATAAAAAAAACTCAGATGCACTTAGAAGATTCCTGCATTAATGCTGAGATCTTAAAGCAAAAAAGGGAAAAACTGAGGAAGTTTGCAGCAGCGTTCAGGATTTAGAACCACATCCACATGAATAATTAACCAAAGAAGCTAAAAGTATTCATCTGAGGCCCATGGGAGTGAAATGAAACTAACTTGTGAGTCTTCAGACATTAAAGAGGGTGTTTTCCACTGAACAGACTCATAAATTGACACCTTTCCCGTGTCTGAGTTTTGCAGCAATCTCCTCAAAGCTGTTTGATTCCCGAGGCGGGTTCATGGAATAAATCTTTGATTAAAAATGCAGTTTCAAATCATTGTCTGTGGGGAAAAGGTGCATCGCTAATCAGAAAGATTTAGTCGGAAAACAGATTACGTAAACTCTTTTTGTATTCTGCAGCAACACCCTCTGCTTGACTTGTTCAAGCATAGAGATCTTCGTGCAGAATTTCAATCCAACAACAAGCACAGAAAGCCTTTTAGCAATGTAAAAAAAATAAGCTTTCTCAGGGAAAAAAAGGAACAGCCTAGCATCCGCTGCCTTTCATGGTGCAGTTTTAAACTATCATCCTAATTTGAGAGGCTTTTGGTGAAACCTTGAAAATAACATGAGATCTTCGTGGATATTTGGAGTATGTTGAGAATGACTCTCAGCTACTACTCCTTCAGATTTCAGTTCAGTGTCGGCAGAATACACTGTGTTATATCAATTTTTGAGTTGACTAAAGTTCTTAAACATCTTGGATTGGGTTAATTTGGAAGTTGATCAGTTGCAGATGTACAGGGTGAGTCAAAAGACACGGGACACCCTTTAATGTTTTAGGCCAGTGATTCCCAACCAGGGGTACGTGTACCCTTTGGGGTACGCGAGCATATTACTGGGGGTACGTGGAAAAATTTCCCAGGTGTGTAAAAAAAATAAAAAAATAAAAGTAGGACTGAGATATGAAGGGCCCTATGATTTCCGCAATGCAAAAAAATTCAAACAGAATCACAAAATGGAATCCAGTATAAAACATGGAATGTCAGGGAATTTGCTCATTTTGGGGTATTTTGGACGCTGTTGCTTCCTGCAYCTGCCATTACCTGGTTTATTTATT